CAACTGTTGACACATCGGCGTTTAAAAAGAAAACGAAACCATTTAGAAGATGTGCATAGGCTATTTTATCGAAATGGGGGAGTGTTGAAGACACGTTTTCGCGGTTAATATTAGATGTCTACGTTTCGGGCGATAGTATAGAAGCTTGTGCAATTACGACCAAATGGTGTTTTTGCAAACTTTTGATTTCAACCAGATGTTTATTTACTGATGTCTATGGCTATGTATATCGTGTGAAATTTTGTGGCCACGGTCACGATTGGGGCAATCCTCGCCAAAGATTAGTCACCTAATCAGATTTATCTTCTAAGTCCATTAACGGAAAAGTTACAATGTTTTTGTTTTTCATGGGTCGGTGGATGCCAAGAAAGATTCAGAGAGTCCTTATGAAGATTATATCTATTTCAACGTTGACGCAGGAGGGATTTTAAAGTATAAAAACCTAGTTATGGATTTGTAACCGAATATGCTCCGGAATGGTGTCCATGTCTTGTCTTTTATCAACTCCTTCATGGATACATTAGCCAAAGATTTCTTGAAATAATTACAGTTTCTTTTAATTAGGTTGCGTCCTCAGTGTGATGTTCATATCTCCCAGATGAAAATGTCCTGCTGTGACTCATTCATTCTTGCATATTTTATTTCCTAAGACTCTTTTCCTCTTCAATTTGGGGTCATGAGGGATTTTTAGGGGGCATCTGCATGATTTGATAATAATCATGATGGTTAGACGAGATGGCAACTTCGCAGAGACGGAGATTTGCCTCAGCACTTGTGGCCGGATGTTAATCAATTAAAAGAGTACTAAAAAGGAAATTTCAATAGCGAAATGGACGGAGAGTTCTTGGCGCAAAACTTATCGTCGCCGACTATACTGATAATAGACTCTTCTGCAAATTGATGACTGAAAATTAAAACCACTAAACAGCAAACTATCCAGTAAATTTACACCAGAACCCAAACAAGCGCCTTTTATTCCATTATCCTTCGAAATTCCATTTAGCCATATGTTGTTTTAGCGGATAAAATGTAAGTTTAGTTCTGAAAAAAAATGCGGACATTGTTATAGTTTGGGGTTTCTTGGTATATCCTGATTCATGTAAACGGCTCTTAATGTACACTATCTCCGTCTTTAATGTCTCCAATAACATTAGTTATGGTGAGTTGCATGATATTTTCAGTACGTGCCTCCAAATTGAACCTCAAACGTCCTTGCAGTGAGAATGAGGATTATTTTCTCATAGGGTGAATGAATGTCTCAAATGAGTGGCTTAAATCCTTTGAAGTTACGCAATTGAAAGCTTTTCCTGAGAAGGCTAAAGATGAGATTTTGCAACATTTGTGGGCAGCAGTAATTTCACGCGAGTATGATTAGGATTTCCTCAGTTTTTGTGCTGATTGGCTCACTCCGGAGCAATAAATTAATTAATCTACAGCGATATCAACCAACCGGTTATGGAACCCTTATCCATATTTCGGTTAATTACTGCAATCAATAAATTGAAAAAAAGGCAAATTTTGAGTTCGGTTGTTTATGGATTTCCCCATACGGCACGAGCGCGGAACGCAGGAAAATTCATAGGCGGGCCCCACGAGGATTCGAACCCCAGACCTACGGATTTCTCTGTACGACGCTCCATGCACCACTAAGCAACAGAAAACTTGTTCGTGAGCCAGGTTATACATTATTTCCGCAAGACACTTACGACAAAGCTGATCGTAACAGGATGATGGATGCTTTTCACATTTGCACAGGGTATCAGCTATCAGGTTTATGGGTCATTCAATTTACAGTATTGGTGGAAAACTGATAGGTTTTAAAAGAGGAACTATTTCCTACTTTGCAGTTGCAACGAATGCTTGCTTAAAAGCTTTTTAGTGTGTCTACATTTTCTTGTAATGGGATACCTTTAAGATGAACAGTATAGCGATCAGCGTCAATAAGTCACGTTCATAGACTAAAGGCAATCTTACCCTTTGAAGTAAGACGACTGTAGTAGACTTTAGAATTCGAACTGCCTCGGGTTATAATAAAACACAACCATACTGTGTAATATTTTAACTCAATGGCTCTAAACGCGGCCAGCTTTTCTAATAAAAGATCGTAGGTAAGATCTCATGCCTGCTGAAAAAAAAACTCCTTTTTAAACCATTAATCAAAGAGCTCTCCCCCTTAGGGCATTTTAAAACTTATATGACTCAATGGCTTATAGGTGAATGATCACAGAGCTCCATCAGCAGGGTCAAAAGTGAGAAATTGACTGTAACAATCTCTTAGAGCCTATGAAGAAAATTTCACGACATTAGTTTACACTCACAAGCTTCCAGGAATTAGATAGTATTTAACGGTTGAAGAGCTGTTCGAAAATTGTCACGATAAAACCTTTGGTTTTTATTAGTTATAAGCCAAAGGTATCCATTGCAGAAATGATCATTTTGAGATAAAAATCGCGATAAGAAGGCACATGACTGTCCCGCGCTGAATTAAAAAAAAATAAACGGACAAAGGAATCGTGACTAGTTTTAAGTGCTAAAAGACTATCCTCACGGTTAGTCTATTTTAAAACACTTTGCTAAATTACTTTTAAGCCTGTGGTTTACAATCCCTGTTAATCTTCCCCATTTCAAATTGTCCTCGTTCTACTTAGCGCTTTTTTTTTCTTTACCTCAGCAAACAATACTCATGAGGTTTCAATCAGTTTGTGACAAACAACTTAAGAGACAAATTGTCATCTCCACCAATTTTACCTCTGGTATGCTGTAGACTGAGATATGAATACTTCTCCCGCAAGAAAAATTTCGGACGAGTATGGTGAATTATCAGTACCGTTCAGGTCACAGCATTTTTTTAATAGACCTATGCCTTTCTTAGATAACAGTGGTTAATGAATCTCGTAAAGGACGTGCCCCCGCCTGGAAGTGCCATCAAGTCCAAAATCTCATGCCCGAATCAGTGTAGAGAAAATCGATGGAAATTGAAAGTGTCAGGAGTGAAAGGGATGACAACACTGCCGGTGGTCTGGCACCCACAAACATTAAACGTAGGATTAAAAGCAACTTTGGCTCACGTACCCAACATGCTATGTCTTTAAATACAAGTGGAAACCATTTTTGACCAGATCTGTTCAAGCACTCAATTTTTAGGTCAAGAATCGGGAGGTATGACTGTAAAACCGTGTGGAATACCCGTTGACCGGACTGTTCCTTTCGATAAAGTTACCTCAATATTATGTTACATTGGACAAGCAGGGAATGGGTCACGTTTCCAACGTGGCGTGTCTTTGCAAGCGGAAGCTGTTTTCGAGCAAATCTGTTCAGATTCTTTCTTGGTCGAAAGTTATGTTATGCGACAGTAAAACCGGACGTGATGCTTGTAAAACGGTCTGTTTCTTTTGTTAGGAGTTGCCTTCAATTATTGTCACTTGTGTAATTGGGTGACAAGTTTGAGTGACCTTTGAGATGCACAGTGTAAAGATTTTGGAGAGTGGCTTTAAACCCACCACTGCTACTCGAGGAACATTTTCGTCATTGTAGCTTGAGTGTCTCTGTGTTGAGGGCTTAAAAATGATTTTAACTGCCTTTGCCTTTTTGTAAGAAGTTTTTCAAATTTTTTCAAATTATAGATACTCTGTAAACTTCTTTGACACAAATGTGAGAGAACGGTTTCGAATCTGACAGTGTGCATGATTTGAAATTGCTCTTCTGACCTGTTAAGTCTGTAAAGAGGAATGGAACTTTGTGGAAAAGGGAGTCGATACTTGATAACAATGATAATGGAAGCCTAAGAGGCATTCACTTTCAGCATTACTTAAAAGAGTTAGTTCCCATGGCAAAATGAAGTGGATGAGTGCATTTACCAGGGTGTGTGTTTTTTTGGAGCTTATGAAAGAGAAAACTGTCGAGTCTTTTCAGCATCAAGTGTGAATGGAACCTGACAGCTTTTTATACTTCGGCTAAGAGTATTTATTGTGCAGTCATAGTGTTCCTAATGAATCCATTGTTAACAGGGTTCAGAGGAAAGGTTATGAAAGATTAGAACTGAGAAAAGATTTGCGGCTGTGTGAGCTCAGCTGCCTGTGAACTTCTTATGATACGTAATATCCTTAAGACACTCCTTTGTTCTCTGTGCCGAGTTTATGAAATTCTTTATTGGTTGTTTCATCCCTGCGAAGCCCCACTGTTACATATGGAAGTTATGAAAACTATCGAGCGGATACATTCTCAGGCACGTTCTAAAAGTGTTGTCGCATTTAGTTCTTGATGACCAAGACAAGTTTTGATCACCACTGACCAGCGTGTTTTCGAGATATTTTGGCTAGCTTTTCGTCAAGACCTTCGTTCCGTTTCATTAAAGGTTGCTAAAAACCACAGATTGTGAAGTGAAATCTAATTAGGCTTTGGGCTGTTGATACGAATATTTATTGACACAACCAGGGAGGGATATTACACATTATTAGCCAGAATGCATGCTGCTTTACATTATGTCAACACGACTACAAAAGTTAATTAGCACGGCGTTAATGACCACACAAAACAAGACCAACACTCTTTTTTGTGTGCCATTTGTCCCTGGGCAAAATTAATTAAACTTTCAAGCGGCTACATCCATCAAAAAAGAATTCTGCCTGATGTATTGAGTTGCTTTTATTTGTTTTTACCATGCGAGCTCGACACTTTGTACACTTTTAATTTGTGTACTCACGTCCTGGATTAATCGACGGAGCTTTATTTTATATTACTTTTGCCTAGAAAACGAGCAAATTGTTTTTCACCATTTAACCCAGCTTTATTAATCCGAAAACATAGATTCTTTGTCCCTATATAAATAAAACATAACGAATATGGTTTTAGAGTTACAATTTTATTTAAAGAACTTTACACATTTTACCATTTATCTACACTTGTATGTGGCCATGCATTTTCACAATGTTTATTATTTTTCTTGTTCAAGCATTAGTAATATATTCTACGTACAATACTAAATTTGTTTAAATTAGAAATCAGAATATCTAGGTATGATTCCTCTTTTCTTTCCAAATATAAATTCTCAAGAACGATTGCAATTTTTTTCATTTTTTCCTCCTCTAGTTCGTACCCTTGTCTCCGTAACTGATGCGTTGCAAATCTACTTTCAGTTTATCTTTGCAAAGCTGTATGATTCCGAGCTAAACTACAACATTTTCAAATGAATTTTCATTCTTTCAAAATTTAACACATGTTATTCCAAGGCCACTTAGACGAAATAATCCTTTCGTTCAGCAATGGCTTTGCTACTTCCATTTCGACATCCAAAGCTAAATAAACTACACTAATTAGCCACCGTGGAGGATTCATTTATATTGTAGTGTTCAAATGACCCTTTTGGGGTGTCTGCCTGGGGGAACTTTCAATTTTCCATTAGAGGCTTCAAAGTTATCACGGGTACAGGACTCGTCTATCCCTCGTCCAGGCCCAGACAAAAACCTTCTAATTTTGTCATTTTTTGAAGCTAATCACATGCGAATCCCTCGCTTTCCATTAACATACCTGAGAAAGAATAGTATAAAAAAATAAATGTAAGGAAATTACGACTACATCAATCAACACTAGCCATTAAATCGCTTAGAGCAACTATTACAATTAAAAAGCGAGTTAAAAATAGAAAAAAGAGAAATCTAGAAGAATTCATTTCTTACTCCAATGTTTCAGATTTCCTGATCAGATTTAATGGGTATCATTGATAGAAGGTTACGATTTAGCAGAAATTTTACCCGACAAGTTGTCATGCTTTCCATTCGAAGACTACTGTTTGAGTTACTTCTTCGAAACCTTTTTGTTTAAGCCTAAGACCATACACATGAGTATAAAAATTTTTTTTTCAATATTTTGATACTTTTAGACTAAATATTCGCCAGAATGGCGGACTCAAACTTGTATTTAAATGAGAAATGAGAAAATATTTTTTTTGTAGGGCTAAAAGGCTAAAGAAGTACGATAATTTACTTCAGTCTAAGAATTAATTTAAAAACTTTTTCTTTTCCTCTGCGCAGAACCGCAAAAGCCAAATTCGACTTATTCAACAAATTTTTAAATTAAAACATTTACTACAAAGAGGTCCGCGCAATAAACAGGAAATCATTATACTTTGCTCATTTTACAAAGAAAATTTTAATTTAATTTTGTGTTGGGAACCAAAAGGTGCGTTATCTTAGAAGAAAGAAGTTTTTCATAAATAAGGAACTCAATTTTCACTTTGTGGTTTCATCATTTTATAATAAGAGATAAGCGCTGGGTATAAGGATAAAAACTTCATCTAACAGGGCGGCGTTCTTATGAGCTAGGATAATTTACTTCTTTCACTTTCATTTTACTCAATTACACTATAGTAAATTTTAGTTTTTTTAATCAGCTTCATTGACTGTTTTCTTCTCTATGGTTCCGTTTCGAATCATTAATTCTGCTTTTTCCAATTAGGAATAAAAACACTATTCACGTACTTTGTAAGCCGCTTTTGTCGACATGCAGTCAAGCTAAAATGAAGCTTCATAACTAAGATAGAGCAAATTGGGATTCTTCTTTTCATTAATAGAAATAAAAAAAAAATCCCCTCTCAGTTATACCAGTCACACCACCATATGTAAAACAAAGCTTTTAACGTTGAAACGTCAAGATTTGCTTGACAGTCGATTGAACTGTGAAAAATCATGAGTGATCAGTTTTCTTAAAATTATTTATGACGCGAGTTGGAGTCCAATTTCGGTTAAAAGCAGCCCGCGAAAAGGATCTTAAAATGTCCATTAATTATTTCCTGTGGCCATAAAGTGCAAGGAAGGTTTTCTGAGAGCAGGGGCATAGAATTACTTAAGCCCATTTAGATGTGAAATGAAATCGATGGAGTTTTCTTCGCGCAATTCCGGCCATTGTTCGCGATGTTTTAACAGTTGTATTAATCAACGCTTTTTGTTGAATATTTTGCCATATCTTATCGGCAAGGCAGCAGAACCAATTTAAAGTCTTAATTAATTCGTATTAAAAAGTGTCCTCCTTTGTCTTATCGCTCGGCCTCAGGGTGAAACAGAGATCATAATCTGAGCGCTGTATTCACGGATGCAAATTGCTCTTCCGAAAATGACGAGTAAATTGTCTTCTCCGTATCCTTTTCCCAGTCGGGGAAGGAACTCGATATATGAGCGGAGAAGAAAATAAATCTCCACGCACAAGTGCGGTCGGCGTGATGTTTATATTGCTCGAATATCCGTGTACTCGGGGCTGATTAGCACGGTAAAAAGCAATACGACAATACAGTGGAAAATTAAAAACGTGTTTCCTTTCACGAAAATAGCCAAATGAAATGTCAAAAATTGATGACTTAATATTAGCTTAGGCAAAAGGTCGCAGATATTAAAACCAAATAAGTGTTATCCAAGGAATGAAATTTATTGAAGTCTTATTTTGACAGACGTTTGGGGGCTCAAAGAGGTTACCTCACCGTTTGTTTTGGTGCGTGGAGTTGTTGTTTTAGTAGTCTCGGGTCGTCATTCTCACAGAACAGCCTCCCGTTGACAACGTGAAACCGGTCACCGGCCACTAGTGGGTTATGACAAGTTGTGCAATTAAAGCAGTCGATGTGGTAAACTTTTCCCAAAACCTTCATTACAAACTCGGTGGCGGGAATCAACTTAGCGCACACGGCGCATGCTCCGCTTGAGCCATACAACCTGAAAAGCAATAAGGGCAAATGCCAAATGAGATCGCAGCGCGGATCTGATAACTCAGGATTTAATATGTTCTAAGTAATTAGAGATAAAAGCGTATAAAGCCAATATTTGGAATAGCGATAAATTGTTCTTCACGGGGCTATTCAGTTTGTCGCCTTTAATACAGTAGACATGTTAACTTTCGGAGCATGGTATATTAAAAATCTTGTTTATTAAAATGAAAAAATACACGTCAAATGAAATAGGCTGCCTTTTGTGCGCCCATTTCGGAGGGTCTCAACAAATTTGCCACGGCGTTGCGAATTAGGGAAACAAACGCAATAAATCGCCTTTCGAAGGTGAAATATTACCACGCTAATGAGTTTTGGGGTTAGCTGCAGCTACTAATACCGGGTATTCTCTCTGGCCTTTATAATCTACGTTATTAATTGCACTTTCATAATGGACGAAATATTACATTGGCTAAAATGTATGCAAAATCCCACCGGTGACACAGGGAAGAAATAATGGAGAGAAAAAAAAATATATATAATAGAAGATAAAGGCCACTTAAGAAAGAATTTCAAAACACGAGGGAAAGTGTATAGCGCATGAAAAACTGAGACAAATAGACGGCGGCTTTCGACGCGGAAAGCAGCGACATAAATATTGCTGGGCTTCAAAGCAGTCGTTTCATACACAACTTCTCCACGGCAAATTTAAAGGAACAAAATAGATCATTACATGATGAGGTTGTCACACACAAAATAAAAAAATACCCCTTAAACAAACTTAACCCGCGTCGCTGAAGCAATAACATTACAAAATCTATTTGAAACGAGAATGAATAAAAGAAATAATTCGCTTACTTTACGTAGTCGTTTTTACACAAGATCATTCCGCCTTTGGCATAACAAGACGATCCCACATCTCCCAAACTCACGTTGCAGCACGAACATTTCAGGCAGTTTACATGCCAGTACTGATCCAAGGCGAGCAAAAGAAATCGATCCAAAATTTTTTCTCCGCATCCCCCACAACTTCTTATTCCACCCTGAAGGCAACGATCTGAAACGAAGAATATAAACACGATGTTATTGACACGAAGAAAAATTTTGACCAGCGCCGTATTTCACACTCGCTTTCCTGCACTCTAGTCGTACTCTACACGAGGATACAATTTTAATTTGCGTTTTCGAAAGCTCGCTTGCGCGTTGTCGGAGCAATGAACACGTTCTAATTCAACCGCGCATAAAATATTTGAACTCACTGTTGTTTGGGTTCGTGTTGTCCATTTTACTCGGCGACGGAAATTTCGGCAGAGCCGTCCCTTAGTGTGGTTGCGTTGTTAGCCTTTGTGACACTGAGTCCGAATTAGCCAGGGGTCGTTGTTTGTTAAAACAACTCGGGTAACAGTGTACGTTATTCAAAACATTCATCATCTGACAGGGAATTAAGCCTAATCAATTCAACATCAAATCAGCTCCAAACCCTAAATGACCAAGACACAATTAGTTGTCATCATCTGAGAGATGTTGCCATTACGAGCACGGCACAAGCGCTCCTGATTGGTCACTGGCTTTAATAAGACAGCAGTTAAGTCATTTCTACACCCCGTGTATCGCTTGCAGTAATTACCAACACGATACGGTTTAGTTTTCGAAGTTTAATTAAGTCACGTGATTGGTTGTAATTATAGCTCTTGTGGTTTTTTTTGCGGGGAAGCACTTGTTATTCAGAACGTGGCGAGAAAGTAATGAATTTTTCTCTTGTTTGTTGCGCTCCCTGCTGGCAAAATTCCGTCAAAAAATAGGAGTAGATATTACCATGCTTCATTCGCGCAACATATTAGCAGCCTAGATCGGATGTCGCTAAAGCAATACTCAAATACATTTTTCCATTCTTCTCCAGGAAAGCAATTTATTTAAGTCCCGAATCACTTGAAAGGGTCATTTGTTACGAATACAATTGCATGTAAACGGAATGCAATTAACAAACTGACAAGGAATACCCTGCCGAACATCTGTCTAAAGGCAAATTAAACAACTTCGGCTCGGCCAATCACAAGCAAATACGAAGCACTCCAACGAATTGTGGCGACGTTGACCAATATAGCCCGAAGGAATCATGGTGCTATTCATTTACCACTAATATGATGCGCTGCCTAATTATTAAAGCAATTGAAGTGTTTGCTCGCTCTGAAGAACCCATTATTGCGTTTTTGTAGTAAATTAAATAGAAGTGTCTTACGCATGCGTCTGACGGTACTAAAAGGAAATTAGATTAAGGATTGTCGTGCGAAGACCCCTGCAATCTTGCTCTGGGAAATAACACAGACAAGATCGATTTCTTCAAGCTCGTACGCCACACCAGGCTCTTGCCACATGTTCTTGTGGCCGATAAGATTATGGCAAATTGGCTTGTGATGGTTTATTGCAATAAAGCGCGCTCACAGTGGGGGACAGAATGGAGATGTATCTCTCATAGAAAGCCGAAAACATCAGGGTTCCATCCGAGTTATTAAATTTTTGGGCCGCGTTGGTATACACAGCTAGACGTTTCTAGCCCGTCTTTATTACTAGCCTTTTTCTTATGTGTACCTATTTCAAATGGATGGGCCAACCACGTTTATTAAAAGTTCCGTTTTGGTTCCACCCGGTTTGCCGGGTGTCATTTATCTGTCAAATTTCTCGACTTTCACGCCAACAGGAGCTTATCGTTCGTGTTTCTGATCTGTTATCTCATTTATTTCTTCCTTCCTTCTCTCGTTTTCGACACAATTAGCTCCGGCACGTTCCCACGAGTTCTTGTGCGTAATTTATCATGTGAAATGAATGTGACTGAGGAGAGACAATATACTCTTCGTTAATAAAGAGTTTAGCTCTAGTTTCCTTGTTGTGTGGGCCACTTAGCCTATACAACCGACTGCCTTTTAGCCGGTCTTCATTATCTTTGAGAGTTAAGCACTTTCTTAATTAAAAAACGTGACTATAAAAGAAGACCTCGCCAAATTAAGACATGAACGAGCCCCTTTTGACAACTGTAAAAACAAAAACATTCCAGATTAACATAGCATGGTTTCATTACGTGGTGTCCACGATTGGCAAAAAACTCCATAATCTTAAAATTCCTGTGGGCTTAAAACTAAAACCTTTCTACATCTCTGAGTGAGTTTGTCCAACCCGGTAGTAACAAATGGATGTTCATCGATAATCTGAATCCTCTATCTATGAGACGGCGAAGGTCGTCCGTTCATTAGTAAATTGATGACTCGGTGTTTCTTCACGGTTCCAATGATTTCACCTCTCGCTACTATTGCCGTAAGTCCATAGCTCGACCTCAGGCCATGAATGTTTTTCACAAGGGGTCTTATAGGCTGTGATAGAAGCATAATCGATCGAATTTTCGATTTTAAATTAACACAACGGGTGTCGTGAAGTTCCCACTGCGTCGAAATTTTAATTGAATTCTTGTATAAACAATGAAATCCGTGGCACGTGCCTAAGACATCACCGGTGATGCTAATCCTAGGGCTCAATTGGAACATGCGCGTTTGTGTACACGAACGGCCATTAACAGTACATCTTGAGGCGATTTGGCTTCGAGTCTAGTTCGCTCCCCAAAAATTTCCCCCTGGCAAACTCTCACGTCAATCTTGGCTTGCTAACGCAAAGTGCAAGCTTTTGGAAGTAGTATTTACATAAATAATTAAGTCTTTAGAAAGTGTAAATACCGTCTTTATTGCTCGAGAACACAGAGGAAACTAATTGTGCGTTGAACGCTTGTGATTGGTGCAAATTTGAAGTTTCAGTAATTACTAGTTAATAGGTGTTCTGAGTATGAAGGCTGTGGTGTGGCTGAGGTATAATGGACTCTTATTGTTTCTTTAGCCATTAGAGAAATTTAATCGCACACTGTATCCTTGGGAGTTTTTACCTACAAATAGCTTAAGAAATAATGGCAAAGCAATTAGAGCGCCAGTGAGAAATTACCTGCTCGTGAAATGCGCCAAGAAAATCCATTAGCTAGTGCTTAACTACTTAATTATGTTTCCGCTTATTTTTCTTGTAAAATTCAGGAAAAGAAATCAGCCAAGAATGATATTTTCGGTTTTAAAGGATCACAGTCTTTTAAAAACACGGGCTTGTTTAACCATCTCTCAGCACCAAAGCCACTCATTTCCATTTACGTGCACTAGGCTAGGCACTTCCAAGTTACACTGCACGATTAAAATTGTTGTAATTTTTTTGTGTGTTTTTTGTATTTTCAAGACTATAAAGTGACTCCTCAAAGGCGGAATTTTCCTTTCAAAATATAACAACACTCTGTGGCGAGTATCGTTGGTAGGAACACATTAATGAAGCTTGTTGTGTTAACGTTCCTTTTGTTCTCGAGCCAATGGGAGAACGTAACGATGAGATACACATCACACTTACACGTCAGAAAGTGAGGCCAAGGGCCCTTAAAGATCTCCCAAAGCAATTTTCTTAGAAGTGTCTACTCTCCGGTTGTTAAAAGACCCATTATGACTGCTTCATACGTCAAAGAAAATAAATGTGGTGCCCCTTAGGCTGAAGTTTTTCCAATTAACTCGACATTCAACCGCCTTAATGGATCTTGAGTTAATGGCTTAGCGAGCGCACAAGGCGATATAGTTATAGTTTCGCCATGGTGTTCAGCCGTGGCGTTGGCATGGTTAATGTGAAAAGCTTTTCACTACAATCGTCACCGCAATACTTATATCAAAAGTGGCAACTTCTTTAGTAGTGAACTGTGCGCTTACACCGGCGCGGAAATTCTTATCGCGTTGCTAGCAACAACGCGGACTGTTCTCGAGTCTTCGATCTTGTTGATTTTCGAGAGTCTCTAATTTGCTCTAGGAGGCTAATAAAGCAGCGTATTACATTTGCAGGCTTATGTTTTTATTGAAAATTCCATCCCAAAGTCTTAACTACTTTCTTACGATGTGTCGACAGCTGATGATGAATATCAGGTGAAAACACCAGTCATGCTGTAAAAACCTGCGAAAAAATTCCCGCCGTTTTAAGATTCAGTGCATTTTAAGGAGTCTTCCTCGGTTCGATGACTGTTTAATAGGATTTTAATACCATGTAGGCTATGAAAATCATTATTACGAAAATTTAATGGCAATCTATGCTAGATCATTCTTGTAGGGCAGCCGTATTTCGTGTTTTGTTTCTTTGTAACAAATCGATTCAACAAACGAGTGTGAAATAAAAGAAATAAAAACGATAAACGGCTCTGTCAAATTGTGTCAATATTTAGCTAAGAAGGTTGGAACTAGAGTCGCAGTCCTGACGATATCAATTCTGTACCGAGGATTCGATTAGTTTAGCGTTTTTTCGGATCAGGTTTTAAACCTACCTTCGGTGAGCTTCTGCATATCTTCTATGTCTCTTCGAGTTGACTTTCGTTATTTTCCTATTAAACTTGTAGCATGGGCGAGAGGAACGTATTAAGAGTCACTTCAGGGAACGTTGAGCCACAATGCGCGCTCAAACGTGATGATATCAAAATGGCGCCAAGGATCCAAGCTGGCTTATTCTTATTCATTGGCTATTAAAAGGCGTTTTTACGACACTTCATTCGCAAACTGGTCTGATGACATGTCGACTGGGCCCTCTACACATGGCACTTAAAACCCCTATTAATTAACAACTCGTCCGTGATATTCGTTTGCATGCAAATTAGTAAAAAGCACAACACAGCTGCGGACAGCATATATTAATGGACGAGAACAAGACCATGTTATTTGTTCGTGCTACGGCAAATAAAATTTCCATTGCCCTCCTAAAAACACGAAGGTGTAACAAACGTTGTAGAGGAAAGACACCGCGCGCTTCTACAAAATAGGCTTGTAAAATTCATCGTTTTTGCCACAAAGTTTAAGACAATTCGAACACAAAAATGGATATTCCGTACTTTTAATTAACTTGCCATTAGCCATAGTTCCGCATTGCCCTTGGTAATTTCAACCGGAACGTTGCACAAGCGCTAATTAACAAAACGTCATTAAAAACGACAACAGATCCTAAGTGCAAATGGACACAAATGCTTTTATGTCTTATTTGAGCTTGTTTGAAAAGCTTTACAAAACTAAACTGAAGAAATAACAAAAGAGATAATGGTGTTTTTACGACGTAAAGCCTTGTTGCGGTGTTTTTCTTTCCTTTTTTCCAGACTCAAATAATATATCTCTTGGATAAACTGATAACCTCAAGGCCATATATCTTATTCATTGTAAATATCATGGGAACTAAGTATCTAAAAGCTTTTAAAAATTTCAACGCTTTTAAGCTCAGTAACCGTAACTGGAAATGGTCGAGCCAAGAATGGAGTTCCATCCCGACTGTAAATTTTCATAATACTGAACAAATTCTAATTTCTCTCTCTCTCTTTCCTTTTTTTTTTTTTTTGGAATTTTTTTATTGTTTTGTATCCGACAAGAATATGCTTGGTAGCTAATGAAAATAAATGTTTCGTCCCTAAAAACACCGTATCGCTAGGTGGAACATAATAAGATAGGATTTTATCAACAATACGTCCACGTGAATTGATCTCAATGCGCTGCTAACAAATGTCATTTTAACCAGCCAC